ATTTAGTTAATCCCAGTTGATTGTAAAATCAAAAACAAAATAAGTTGTGTTGAGTAGCGAGATGATAGAATGGTACGAGACGTTTGATTCTGCATTGAAGTGACGTGTTCGTGTGCCAAATGATTCTCCTCTTTAACAAGCATACCAATTGTTCACTTCTTGGTCATTTTCAAATGCCGAACAGTGCTATAAGTGCTTTATTCACTCCTCAACTCACAAATTTGGTGCAAGTAGAGACATTAGGCACATGCTACTAATTAATTCATAATCTCTTCTGCACTTGAATCGTGTCTCCCCTGCTTCCGAATAACATGTTAGTTAGTCGTTCAATCACATATTGAACGTCTGGTTGTTAATTTAATATTGATTTTGTAATTGGTCTAAAATTGGAGCTTAATTTAATCACTAAAATTAATAGCTAAAATTACGCACTGGCACGCACACACACAAACACACACGCACGCACTGACACGCATACGCACAGTTTACGAGTATAGGCTAGACACATGCTTACCAAATCTGGCTGGCCTGCTGAAACAAAAGCCCACAGTTACACATAAACACATATTCATTTACTTTACAAAATAAGCGACTTTGTCCGCAATTAAACACACCTGCTCATGTTACTTCCATGGAATTCTCGATAGTAGATATATAGCTATCGAGACGTCCATGGTTACTTCCTATCTACTCTTACACGCGCACACATACATAACAAAATATTTTTTCACATACAATTGCACACAGACACACACGTTGTATCTGTGTGCAATTACTTGAGTTGCATTTTTGCTTTTTTATTCCACCTCAACATACACACACCCAACACACACAACACACACACAACACACACACACACACACATGCACATGTCACTTCCTACTTATAGCTCCACACAAACATACAACATAAAACACGCACACAAACACACAACACACACAATACAAACACACACTCAACACACACACACACACACACACATATAGCTCCACACGCAACTACAACATATTAAACACACACAAACATTACACACACAAACATGACACACACACAAACATTACACACGCACACAAACATGATACCTACACACACACAACACACACACAACAACTTCTTCCTACCTGTTTGCACGCTCAGCCTCTCATTTCAGGTACAGACCGACCAACGGCGGGTCATAAAATTCGCACCTACCTCCATTTCAACTTTCCAGTGCAACTTAAATAAGTGAACGCCATCGGCGAGATGGAAGCAAACTTGTCTGAACACCTCACGGGTACTTTAATCAATGTTGGCCTCTATTAAACATCTGCATCTCGTTATATTTTTAATTACAATACCATACGTATAAACGAACACATACTCACGTGTATGTGTGTGTATTGTGTGTGTGTGTGGTGTGTGTGTATGTGTATGGTGTGTATGTTTGTGTGGTGTGTATGTTTGTGTGTGGTGTGTATCTGTGTGTATGTTTGTGTGTGGTGTGTATGTGTGTGGTGTGTGTGTATGTGTATGGTGTGTATGTTTGTGTGGTGTGTATGTTTGTGTGTGGTGTGTATCTGTGTGTATGTTTGTGTGTGGTGTGTATGTGTGTGGTGTGTATGTTTGTGGGGTGTGTATTTGTGTGTGTTGTGTGTATGTGTATGTGTGTGTGTGGAGGGAGGAAGTTTTGTGTAATAAAGTAGTAATAGTGTGATGTGGCCTTGATCGAGCGACGAGTCTCGAAAATAATTTACCAAATTCTTTGAAAGATTAACCGAAATGTTTCATCAACTTTTTATTATTATTATTTTATGATATTTTTTATGTAAATTTATTTCACCATGGTTGACATTCAACTGAATTACAGCAACGTGGAATTAAAATAACGAGGGGATCTTTGATCCTTTGTGACGTCAATAGAATATCTTCTGACATTGTGGCCTAATATTTTTTGCCGAATAATCGAAATTCCCTTACTTCTCTGTAATTTTGTTTATTGGTAAGAAGCTAGCATCCTGATTTGCAGTTTTTTGTTCTTCATTCGTTCGTTTGGTTTCTTTGTTTTCGTTTTTTTCCCTTCACAATTGTTCTTTTAAAATTTCAGATTTGGTTAATTGTTTTTTTTTAAATTCATATGTAGTAGTAGTAGTAGTAGTAGTAGTAGTAGTAGTAATAGTAGTAGTAGTAGTAGTAGTAGTAGTAGTAGTAGTAGTAGTAGTAGTAGTAGTAGTAGTAGTAGGAGTAGTAGTAGTAGTAGTAGTAGTAGTAGTAGTAATGCTGTTCTGGAAATTTCCAGAGAGCATGCTGTCAGGCTGGTTAATTGTTTTTTTTTAATTCACATAAATGTGTTTGTGGAAATGGACTTAATAATTGAGATTTTAAAAATTATTACTTTTTTGAAAGAATGATAATTTTTATAATAGTGAAAAAAAATATTTATTCCACAACTATAACCATCGATACGTCCATTTCAGTTTTATTCTATCAAATTTTCAATCTTTCGAGATAAATTTATTATTTTACTGATTACTTCTTAAAAATGAAAATGCTATCTAGATAAAAAAAAAGATAAATGTAATTGAAGTGAATGAAGGAAAAAAAACTATCTCGAAAGTTCTGCACCCTTGTAAATCAATTCATCACACATAGGCTGGAAGTTCTTTCAATTCTAACATGTTTCTGAATTAGCAAGACCAGGCGTTTTAACCACAACACTGCTTTGTCAGTCAGAAATATATTTCATAGCCGGCTAATTTGTTGAGGAAGTCGTGATTTAGGGGAATCAGCATGATTGAAATTTCTATTGTTTGCTTTTTCGCAGTTTGCCGCTCTGGAAAAGGTTTTAAAAATTGCATGGTGAATTTCTTGGGAGAAAAAGTTGCTTACTCATCAGACATTAATGATATTATCATCCTCACCATCAAAAAACTATCATATTCTTTTCTATCGTTTTACTTTTTAACATTCTGGTCATTGTTTTCATCGATATGACGTAGGATAAACAGTTAACAAGGCCGAAAGATGATAAACTAACTCAGCGATGTTTTAAAGACGTATTTAAATGTTAACTATATTTTCAAGTTTCATTTATTTTGCAAACTATTCATTCATTCGTTCGTTCGTTATTTCGTTCGTTCATTCGTTCGTTCTTTCGTTCGTTCGTTCATTCATTCACTCACTCACTCACTCACTCACTCACTCACTCACTCACTCACTCACTCACTCACTCACTCACTCACTCATTCATTCATTCATTCATTAGTTAATTTTTCATTCGTTTCTTTTCTCTTTCCATCATTCTTTTCTTTGTTTACGTTGCAGGCGTTTCAGTAATTCGTTTTGTTTCCGAATTAATTTATTTCTCATCTATTTTTTTCCTTCATTCATCCATTCATTTGTATTCTACTTTTTTGTTTTTTTTCTCTAAAAACGCGTTTATTTGTTTGTTTAATTAATTATTTATTAAATTAATAATTCATTTGTTCAATCATTCATTCATTCATCATTCAATCAATCAATCAATCATTTATTTATTCATTTATTCATTCATTTATTTAATCAGCCACACACTCGTTTATTTGTGCTTATATTTTTCAATTTAAAAAATTAAATTTCAGCAGTTGAGTTTATTTTATATCTCCAACCATTCGATCACACGCACACACACGCACATACACAGAACACACACACGTACACACACACACAGAACAGACAAACACACACACACACAACACACATATAAATGTTAAATATATCTAAAATTTCTCGCATAAATGTTTTGTTCAGTTTTTTAACCTTTAGTTTTATTAATTTGTTTCTTTTAATAAATTTTTTTTTCAAATGTTTTCAAGAATGGCAAAATTCTATTTTTTTTTTCTTCCCGCCAAAAAAACGAAATTGTCGTCTGCCAATATGTTTCCTGTCACAAAACATTTCATCACCCTGATGAACGTCATTTAGTTTGTAGACAGGCCGCTCGCTATCTGTCATTACATCAGATGTGTGTTGTGTTGGAAGTACTTGTTTGTCTCTGCTATGCGTTTATAAGTGTTACTCTCTTTCTCTCTCTCTCTCTTTCTCTCTCTCTCTCTTTCTCTCTTTTTCTCTTTCTGACTGTGTGTTGGTATGTAGATGTGTGTGTGTGAGTTTACGTGCGTGTGTATTCTGTAAATTTATGTTTGTATTTTAATAAAAAGTGTGTGTATGTGTGTGTGTAGGTGCGTGTGTGTGTATATGTACATTTGCAAATTTGTATCTGTACGTATATACAAGTTCATCAACCACTTTAAATTCTTTAATAATGAAGATAGGTGTATCTGAAAATTGAGCTTGTTCTTCCAATTCTTCATTGTTTGTTGCAGAACAGAACGGAATAAAACCATCGTATGTATTTCGGATACACAACTCAATAGGCAAAGTAGTCTATTAAAAGTATTTGAGACAAGTTAAACGTATTCCAGATACACATAGACCATCTAGTCTAGGATATTTTTGAAATAAATACTGTAATACAGACACATTAGGATCCATCTTGCATGTGTTGTATATACAACTCAATAAGCAACGTAGTCTATTAAAAGTATTTGAGACAAGTATTGAAAATACTCCAGATACACATACAATACAGTCTGCAATACATCTATCTTTAATTGAGAAAATTAATGCTTTCCTATTAGTATTTGCACATGCTTCCGTGAAAAATGCTACCTAAATAATGCAACACCAATTTGTTTGCGACAGTCTAAATGTCTTTTTACACCAAAGACATATCTTAATTGTGCTTGTGTGTGTGTGCGTGTGTGTGTGTGTGTGTGTGTTGTTATTTGTCTATGAAAGTACTTGAAGCATATTTTATATATTATCTATTGTCTGTGTGCGTGTTTGTGTGTGTGTGTGTGTGTTATGCGTGTTTGTTGTGCGTGTATGTGTGTTTGTGTGTGTGGGTGTAGGTGTGTGTGTGTGTGTGCGCGCGCGTGTGATTAGTCTAGGAAGGTAAGATATATTGATGTATGGATAATTAATTACTTTTCTGTTTGGTTGCATGCACACAGGATACACAATTGATGAATCATACACAATATCCTCACACACAATTGACGAATCATACACAATATCTTCACACACAATTGACGAATCATACACAATATCTTCACACACAATTGACGAATCATACACAATATCTTCACACACAATTGACGAATCATACACAATATCCTCACACACAATTGACGAATCATTCACAATATCTTCACACAAAATTGATGAATCAAACACAATATTTTCACACACAATTGATGAATCAAACACAATATTTTCACACACAATTGATGAATCATACACAAAATCTTCAGTTGAAAATTAAATGAAAGTTTACTTACAACACAACGTAACAGAATAACATGCATGCAGTATAACAACACCTCCGCTTATTTTCAAAGATATAGTATAGAGTTTATAGGTTTATGTGGAATTACAGAATTGACTAGCCAACAATAAATATATGCAGATTTTAAGGGGTAGGCGTCAAATAATCAACATAGAAAGGGATTTTCCTCTGAACTATATTGGACGCAGTTAATGAATTTGAGGTTTATAACTTTTCCAATGAGCTAGCCATCATCATCGTTATCTCCATCCTTTTACTTGAAGTTATCTTCATCATCGTCACCTTTACCATCATCATTATTATCACCATCGTCGTCACCATCATCGTCGTCGTCGTCATCATCATCATTGTTCAGTCTTCAGAACTATAATGATGATGATGACAATAAATACGTAGAAGTATAGTATATACCAGGAATAATGCAAGCGTCATACAAATACAAAAACGTTATACAAAATATTATGTATATACAGTCTAATGAATGCCAGTTGTTATCCAAATTTTCAGATTAATAAAATTATTTAAATTCTTAAATTCACAAAAATTAAAAGAAATATTTCAGGAGCAAACCAGACCATGAAGCCTTGCGACGGAAGTGACGTCATGATGTTGTCAGTCAAGTTTAGCTCCTCCCAGAACTTCCCGGATTCACCGCCAAAGTCCAAAAATTGAGGCACCTTATCTAGGGAGAGCATGGCGCAATCAATCACCTGGGTTCGTTATAATGAATGATTCTTCGTTATATGAGAGTACGTTGTAATGAAGTACGTTGTAATGAAGTACGTTGTAATGAAGTACGTTGTAATGAAGTACGTTGTAATGAAGTACGTTGTAATAAAGTACGTTGTAATGAAGTACGTTGTAATGAAGTACGTAATAATGAAGTACGTTATACCGAAGTGAATATATTTGTTCTATAGAAATGAATGCTTTTTATTTGTATGACATTTGATGTATTTTTGAGTGAGTTAGATCTTAAGTTATTTGACATCTCGCATTAGTTGAATGCATTCAAGTTGACAAAAATCTGATATATTAATACGTACCATTGTTAAGTTGTAGGATGTTGGTATATGAACATGATTTGATTTGTATAATGATGATAATTCAGATGAATTTTACAAAATAATAATATATTGGAATAAAATAAAAAAATTGTTTTTTTTGGATTGGTGAATGAATGCTTGTTTTCAAGTTTTTTTTCATTTTTACAAAAGTTTTCAACTATTAAGAAAGTAGCGAGATATTGTGAAAGTTGGACAGAGAAAGACAGATCAATCCGTGATAACTTAGAGTAGCGAACTATGAAAAGTTCATAGATTGGTAAAAGAAAATTTAAAAAAAGTATTGAAATAATAAAAAATAATCAATCAACCAACCAATCAATTAATCAAATCAATCAATTGCATTAGTTAAAATAACAAATCAAACAAAACAAACTTCTTTGGAAGAAGAATAAGTGAATGAGTGAACAAATGAGAACATGATTGAATGAATAACAGAAAATAACAGTCAAAAAGTATGAGAGAGAGAGAGAGAGAGAGAGAGAGAGAGAGAGAGAGAGAGAGGAATAGAGAAATAAATAGCGTTATTCCAGCATTACATAATGGTTAGACCGGCAGCATTGAACTTCTTTCTCTGAAATTTATTACATACAGGCTGATGCTATTTCAGTGCTGAGACGCTGCGTGGAATTTTAAAATAATATACTTTAAGAAAGGAAAGAATAAGCACACATTCATCCACTCATTCGTTCGTTTTCTCATTCATTCATTCATTCGTTCGTTCGTTCATTCGTTCATTCATTCATTCATTCATTCATTCATTCATTCATTCATTCATTCACTCACTCACTCACTCACTCATTCATTCATTCATTCATTCATTCATTTATTCATTCTACCATTATACCATTCATTCATTCTACCATTCAATCAATCAATCATTTATTCATTCAGTTGTCTGTTGAAACATTATTAAGGAAAAGTACTAACGAGAGTATTAATGATCATAAAAATAAATGATTCAACCGTGGAGTAAAGATTCAATCAATTTTTTGTTTGATGGTAAAACGAACTTGATTTGTCGACTGACAACGAGAATTTTTGGTAAAAAAAGCAATTTATAATTATAATAGTAATAATATATAATAATATAATAACAATGATAATAATAATTATTATATTGTAATCAATGTCGCCTGCTGTTACTACAGCTGCACTTGAAGTCATTCGTAGAAACTATCTAACCAGATCACTGAGGCAGAAGCAAGGCAGTGGCGAGGGACAGACCGATGCAGCCACAACTTTCAAAATTGAGGCCAACAGGAAGGCCACACTCATATGGTTGAATATGTCGTCTGCTTCAGTATTTGAGGTTGTCGTGGTTAGCGCTGTAGATGCTGTCGTCGCTGTTAGCGTTGTGGCTGTGGTTGTTGCTGTTGTAGCTGCTGTCGTTGTTAGCGTTGTGGCTGTGGTTACTGTTTTAGTTGTGGTGAACGTACATGCGATTGTTGATGTCGTTGATTTGGTTTTTAAGTAGATAGCGATTTAACTGACAAAGTTTCAGATGAAATTGTTTTTATCTGCCTCCACTATGTAAGTATTGATTTCATTAGTGTTGTGAAATGATAATTAAAGATGTTGCTGTTGTTGTTGTTGCTGTTGTTGATGTTGTTGCTGTTGTTGTTGTTGTTGTTGTTGTTGTTGTTGTTGTTGTTGTTGTTGAGATTTATGTTAGAGTTGATCATGAAAAGAAAAAAAAATATGTATTGCTGACAATTTCTTTCACACTGATGTTGTGTTGCTGGTCGTTGGAGTCTGGCGCAGACTGGGTAGCTCCTCACATGTTCTTTAGTGTATTTGTTAGGCCATTTTAACAATGTTTAACCCAGTTTAAAACAGTTTAGCCGTGTTTTAAAAAGTTTCACATTGGAAAATAGCAACGACATAACGTTCAACCGAAGAACATGTTCCCATCACTGCAAATGATCAGGAATGCATAGTTTAACGTAAATTAAATTATCTTTTTCAAAACCGCAACGATAATAAAAACATTTTTATTTATATCCAGATTATAATAATAATAATTATAATAATAATAATAATATTATTATTATTATTATTATTATTGCTATTATTATTGCTATTATTATTATAGTGAAGTGTTCTGAATTCCTTTAAAAGGTTTGGCCATGTCGTTTGTCTAAAGGTTTTATATTTAAATTTTAATTATATTATATTCTAGCTTCATTCATTTTAAACATCCCGGTTCATTTTGAAAACAGCGCTTCAGTTAATCAATGTTAAAAGTAGTAGTAGTAGTAGAAGTAGTAGTAGTAACAGTAGTAGTAGTAGTAGTAGTAGTAGTAGTAGTAGTAGTAGTAGTAGTAGTAACAGTAGTAGTAGTAGTAGTAACAGTAGTAGTAGTAGTAGTAGTAACAGTAGTAGTAGTAGTAGTAGTAGTAGTAGTAGCAGTAGTAGTAGTAGTAGTAGCAGTAGTAGCAGCAGTATCAGGCGTAGTAGCAGTGGTTATAGCATTATATTTTTGTCCTCTTATGAAAGGCGGAAAAGTGCAGCATGTATTATTAATGTCGCGCGGATTTTGAGCAGATCATGGCGATATTGCATTGGAGCATTGTGCAAACATTACATCGCCATTGCAAAAAAAAGTATTTATTCGTCCACCTCTGATTAGATTTTGATGAAAATCTATTAAATGTACGCTCTATTCATAAATTTGTAATAACATTCATCTCTATCTCTATCATCAATTTAATAAAATTACTAATATATACGTATTCATATATTTATGGGGGTGTAATCAGTGGCGGATTTAAGCAACTTTACAACATTGATGGTGTGGGCCAGAAACTTGAAAATGTTTAAATTTTCACGGGAGGTCAAGATTTGTGGTAGCGTGGCTGACGACCATTTATTTTAGCTTAACACGTTCAATTTTTGGTCGATTTCAAACATAAAACAGTCCCTTCTCGAATGTGTGCCCATTCGACTTAAGGTGCTCGCCTCCCTTGATACAAACGCAAAGAAATCCCCAAGCCCATAAATTGCACTGGGTAGATTCAGGCTTTTTCTCGTGCGCTGCTCGCGTGTGTGGCTGCTTTCGTTGGGGATTAATTTAAAAAAAGTTACGACAGCTATTATGTTTGTTATTTTTCGAGTTGCCAGATATTTTCCAAACTTCCACACATGGATGAATGTCGTGTCAAAGCGTTCATCTTATTCCGAATTGAATTTAAAAATATAATTTTAACAAGTCAAAAGTTTGTTTATTGTTGATTGCAAAATAAATTTGGTTGGCAATTTCCTATTTATGATATTTTCACGAATTAATTATATATTCTTCGGAAACATTAATGTTTAATTTTTAAATAACTCTTCTGTCTATGAAAATTATTGTGTTAATTAAGTAGTTTTTTTAAATCTAATTTCTTAAAACTGTCAAAAATGAAAAAATTACCTACAAACTTTTATCTTTCGGCAAAGAAGTTAACATATTCAACAAATTTTAAACTTTTTAAAACTAACCTAAACTATTAAACCGTCAAAATTATTTTATTTTCTACTAATTAATTTATTTTAGCCATTTCAAATATATCATCCAGATAATAATTCAAATATACACAAAATAAACTCTTAAACAACCCAATGGCTTAAGACCAGTAGCCCAAATAAATCAAAAGTTTTATTCAAAAAGCTCTAAACAAAATCGTGGTCATCGTTTATCATGGTCACTTTTAGTTGTTTGTCAGTTGGTTGACTGGTCATTTGATGCAACTCAGCGATATCATGTACACTAAAGAGTTAATTTTAATTTTATAAATGGTCATTTTTAAATAGTTTTTGATTTGGAGATCTTCAAAGACTGATAAACATTTTTATACTGACAAGCACTGCGGTTTTATGTACGGTCATTTTTTAATTAGGTTTATTAAAATTAATTAATTATATTCATCAATCAATTATGACTAATAATATTCTCAAATATTTATTATTTATAATCAGTTAGTGTTAATCAAAAAATTATCCTTTATTTATAAATAAAGGATAATTGTTTGATTTTCATAGTAAACTTCACACTTGATTCATAGGCGTACAAACTTTTTATTTTATTGTATTTATTACCTTAAACAATTTTCCAAACAATGAAAAAATCACATCCTTTACGTCATACTTTCAAACACGTGCGAAATAATTATTTTTTTTCATTTTTATTTTTAATTTTCATTATTAATTGCATCCAATTCAGCGTTAATTTTCAACTAGATTCAACGATTTATTGTTAAAACATTGATAAACATTATCATTTTCAACGATATAATATATATTTATATATATATTTATAAAATTTATTTATTTCTTTAATATAAATCAATACATTTATTTATCCAAATTTATATTAAAATTATTCGAAATTTCAAAAAATTAACAAATCTAAGCATTAGTAAATCATATAATAATAATACATTACAGCATAGCAATTTTATAACCGAAGACAGACAAATACAAACCAGACGAACGAACAACGTGAACACGGATGAACAACGCGAACACGAATTGAACGTCTCATGTTCTGTCGGGTCACACTGACGAAGATTGCGTTCTCTCACTTTTACCCGTTTCTCTTTTTTTCTCTCTCTCTCTCTCACCACCTCATCTCCATATCTCTCTTTCTTTCCGTGGTTTTGGTGATGTATGAAACGCAGGTTGTCATTCATTCCCTGCATAAAATTGTACATACATAGATTCAGGAAAATTATGTGATAATAATATTACGTATACCTGCATATACTGTACATATACATGTGTGTGTGTGTTTCTATGTGGTTGTATGGGTCTCTGTGTGTGTGTGTGTGTGTGTGTTAGTACGTGCTTGTTTGTTTGTATGTGTGTGTGTATGCACCAAGGCAAAATTGGATCCATTCTTTAAATGATTTAGAATTTTCAACATATAGGCAAAAGTAAAAAAACAGTGAACCCTTTAACGTTATTAGCAGCAAATGGTCTTCATTCAATTGAGAGCCACAAAAAGTTAAAATAGTTCCAACCAGTTTTTTAATAGTAAAATTTCGTTCCCCATAACTCAAAATGGAGCAATTACCTTATCTTCCTCTACTGTGGACGCCGTGCCATTCTGTGCGCACGTTTCGTATTAGTCATTTTCATCTGTACGCACGTTTTATATTAGTCATTTTCATTTAACTTTTATTATTAATACACATTGTTTGCGTATCGAAGGAGAAATATTTACATCCCTCTTCCCAGAAGGATCCATCACACTCATGTACCTACAACTACTGCCACGCTCGGATCTCTACAACATTCACAGGCATGCAGTTAAGTGTATGTGACATCTATGGAAGGACATTATTTTGAAAGAATTTTTTTAGAAACACATTTTTACCACAGGTTACAATGATATTGATTGTATGTATAAGACGCCTGTTTACCAGTTATGTAAAGTTATAAATTAAACTACAAGCTAGAAAATTTAATTATAAGCCATCAAATCCTAACAACTATTTTAATTAGTATAAGAATAAAACAATGGCGGAAAATTAGGCAGCAATTAACGTATGCAGCAAACGGCATGTCAACTATTTTCTACAACACAATCATTCAATGACACAATCACCCAACAACACAGTCATCCAACAACACAATCATCCAACAACACAGTCATCCAACAACACAGTCATCCAACAACACAATCATCCAACAACACAGTCATCCAACAATACGATCATCCAACAACTCAATCATTCAACCTTACTATGGCACGACGACAACAACAACAACACATTCCCTCGAAGTAGCATAACCCTGGCTACTGACGTTTAAGATTAAGTCGATTAAGAAGGATGGGCTTCAGAGCAACTTCAGTTCATCACTCATCCTCTCCCAACTACTACGAACGACTACCGCTTCCATCTTTTTACGACAACAAAAATACTACACTAATAAAGATCTAAAAAACTACTACCATATTACAATACCAAAATTAGTTCTACTACTAGCGACTGCTAACACAATTACTACCCAGCCACTACCATTACCACAAAAACGCCAACTACTACTACTACAGTTACTACCTAACCACTACCACAGAAACGCCAACGATTTTTCCTACCTAGTTCCTCACTCACGCTTAATCAGCTTAAATCAATTTATCCAGCAGCTTCAACATCAGACGTACAGAAAAAAAATAACGAAAATTTAAGAAAAAAAATTTTGACGTAATATGGGTGTGTTTTTTGGTGATAGCAACGCTGGTGAAGTTAATAACTTGATGATGATTTAATGATGAAAATGATGATTGTAATGATGAAGTGTTCAATTTTTTTTCAGGATAAAAATGTTGGCAATGAATAAATTAGCTTAAAGACATAACATGTTATTACATCTTTCTGTTGTAAGCTAGCTCTATTTAACAGCATATAAAGAAAATTTAGTTAAGAATTGAAAAATTTTGAATTTTCTATATCTTTGCTTTTTAAAATTTGAAAAACACCCACATTGCCTAATAAACATGAACATCATCACATTCATCTAATTGATGAATGATGAACCATTGATTATTTCTCTGTGACTTGCTCTGTTCACTATGTATTACAAACATTACAATTGTTTATATAGTCCATCTTATGGTCTCATCTTACCACAAAAAAAACAAATTACAATTTTAAAATGCACAGATCAATTGTTTCTGTAATTCTCTTGTCATCTCTGATGGTCAGCGGTGAAGATGATTTCAATTTGATCAAAACGCCCACACAGCATTCAAAAATATTTATCTAAATTACTCAACAAACATCTGCTGATTTTACAGTAATGCGTCACTTCTAATTGCTGTGGTTAATTTTATTGAGGAATATTTCAACCGCATGTTGGCGCAATTCTATAGATAGTCGATCAGATCTTATGTAAGAAAGAAAGGAATTTGAACATCAAAATTTGAGCTTCAAGATCAATTTTTCTTCTTATT